ACTATAATATAAATTACGAGTAAATTTTCAAAATTAGTATGAGATTACGTCTGCCTAGCTGCCCCCCGCCTCCCCACTTAATCAAATCTTAATGAATAAATTCTATAATAATGTGATGTTTATGCGTTCTCAAAATCCCGCAAAAAAAATTTTTGCGCTCATTTCGTTTAGCTAAAAAAAAAAAAAGTCCCTTAAGAGTTGCAGCGCAAAAATCGAATTTGCTTGGAAATAGTAGCGCATAAATCGAAGATGTATTTTGCATAGTTAGAAAGCGTAATTTTGCAATTTTAAACGACTTAGGGATGAATATGACTGTTTGCTCCAAGAGGGAAGTGCCTTAAGGGATGCAGCGCAAAAATTGAAACTATGTAAATATGAAAGCGCATAAATAGCGTATAAATCCTGTGTATTTTCCAAATCAGTGGTTATTAACATGTGAGAGGGCTAACTGACAACCTACTCAGCCCCCCACAAAAAAATATTTTTTTAGCTAAACGAAATGAGCGCAAAAATTTTCAGATTTTGAGAGCGCATAAATAACATATTATTATATAATTTATTCATTAAGATTTGGTTAAGTGGAGGGAAGGGCCAGCTAGGCAAACGTGATTTCACAGTTTACTAAAGGATAATGAAAGTTTTATTGGTTTGCAATTATATTTCACAGCAAATTCCTTATGTGTACTTCTGCAACTTATGTGGATAAATTTCCAATATGTAATTGGCGTCTGTTACACACTATAAAATGTGTAAAAGTGATTAATAGTTCGTGTATAATTCATTACATTATTTTTTTTTAGTTTTTCTTAAATTTTAAAGTTATTTTCCAAATTAAAATTTTAATGCTAAAAACATTTTTCATTAAAAAAATAACAAAATTTTGGAATCGCAATAATTTTGTATCGGAAATGCTATGCGCTCATCGCGTGTATGAAATCATATTGACCTTTTAAACAATATTCTAAAGAATGCGATATTGTAAACTATTAATCATAATTACAGGCGATATGATTCGCGTATATTTTTTCGTGAATTGATAATAAACGTACTAGAACTTTTTTGTGTACAAGAGCACACAGAAGTGAATTCTAAAGAGCAAGCCGACAACTACGTCAAACACTTCGTTTTCGTTCGAGACGTCAGAGTTCATATCGCATATATGTGAACTTTACCTCGCATGTAAGAAACACGTGATAACTGCGAGATAAACAGACGATTTTTCGACACAATAGCTATATCAATATAATGGGAAGCGTCATATCACACATTCATACAAAGAATAATCATGCTTCACGCTGAATTGGACAAGAGCTCGCTTCTAGGACAATCTTTATATCCGACTGATTGTTGTACGATGCAACGTTCCGCTTTAATGTTCAGCCTTCAAGACGGACATTGTAAAATTTAATAACGCCTTTTTTTGGAATAGAAGGGGCACACAAATCAACATTTCGAGTATCTACTTAATGATTTTATCGCACTGATTTATTCTCAGTATTATACCGCTGATAGAATATGCTAAAACGAGATCTTATTAGAAATCACATCAAAATTTCGATGGAAAATGACAAAGATCTGTGATTGTGAGTAACGTGCTTCTCTACTTGATAAGAGTACAACGAGGAGTACAATTATAAATGTAGAAACAGTAAGAAGAGAAAGAGAGAAAAGAAGGGAAAAATTGCAAAAAACATTGAGCAAATCGGTTAATTTTACATTATACCCAAGTATTTATAATATATTTTTAAGAATCCGTAAATTCGATGCTGAAATAAAATTAGATACTATTGCAGCGATTTCATTTTCTTTAAAAATATAAAAGTACAGAATTTTAATTGACGTAAAAATATTTTTGTGATCTATATCAAATACAGGATTATACTGTCATATTACGGATGGAAAATTAATAGTTAAACTTTATCGACATTTTACAAAATAATAAAAGAATTTAGAGATTCCTTTTCATCAAGTTAAGAAATCATAAAATCTAAAATTAAAAATAATTCTGCTCAAATAATATCATCATTCAGAATCGGAGTTACTGTGTCTTAAATTTCAAAATCGCTTAAATACTACAATTTTTGCTTAGTGTAACACAATATAATTAAAATATAGAAAAGAGATTGATATAAGAATAACTTAACTACCACACGCTCGATAATTACAGATCATAGAATACATTGCGGTCATGAATTCGAATGGAAAAATGTTAAAAGTTTGGATATAGAGAGGATTTACAACAAATAACTTATATTTGAAATGCTTCACATTAATTGTCAACCTAATGGACTGAATGCAAACTGACACAGAAGCTTTAAATCACGTTTACATAGAAATACTTAAAATATATAACATCATTGTTAATTGTATTCGAGTTGATTATGTTAGTTCATTAAGTATTTTCTGATTCCTTTGTTCGTCATGCTAAGCAGCCACATTTTGACTATTTTATGTGTGACATGACAATTTCGTTGTCGATAAATTGTTTTAATTTTAATGTTTGATGATTGCTTAATATGTATTATATTTTTCTGTATTATTTTATTGACGAGTTCTTGTTCACTGTGCGGGTTGTTATTGGCCATAAGGTGAGCAACTCTTTTATGTAAGATCGTAATTTACACCCTTTTTCTATACACGACAAATTCTTTTCTCTTGATAATAATTTTGAGACTGGCAATCCATTACCACTCAGCCATAAAACTGTTGTGTACATTTGATAATATTATGGATGATCGCACCTCATTGCACGGTCTGCACAACTTGCATATGGAAACGCTTGAAATATGACTGCGATTCATAATTCAGCTTTATATTTTTGCGATAATGTTAGTAATATTTTCCTGCTGAAGATGGCTCAAAACGCAGCCGAAATGTTCAGAAATAATTAAACTTATTTATTTTTATATTATTGTATATTCTTGAACAATATTGTTCCAACACCGACTCCTAACACCTCATACATTATACTTGTTCTTTATTCTAATAATTTGACTTTATAAGCCTTTTTCTATCCCGTGAAAAAATTGCATGAAATATAGGAGTTTATGCATTATAATATTTTTTGGCTGCCTGCCTATCTCTTTAAATATTCATAAGAAATTCACAAAAATTATAAATCAACAAATATTCCTGATTTATTAGCTCTTAGAAAGCGAAACAACTTTTGGGAGATAAAGGAGACTGTATGTAATATAGATATAAATAATTAATTTTTTTTAATAATACTATTATTCTCTCTCTCACTTTTTGTCTTTCATGTTTTGACATGTTTAGCGGGACAACGAAACAAAGTGGGACTGTCCTGCTGAAAGCAGTCTGGTCACATTTAAGTATGTCTCAACTAATTTAAATCGCTCCAATGATTTAACCATCAATATAAGAACTTTATAATTCGTTACCATTTATTTTGAATCAAAGGTGATTTTCATATTAAAAAAATAAAAGTTTAAGTCCACTATATTGTTTAAAAGTAAGCGTTTAAAGCGGAAGTTTAAAGCGGAGAACGAATAATATCGTAAATGGGGAATATATCAAAAATATTATATTCAATTAATAAGAACATATATTCGTCTCTTTTTCCGTCGGTTTCTTAGATAGATGCTCGATTGATTATTACGTAAGTTCATTCTAGAATGTGATAATTATGAGATTTTGGCTTTAGGATCGAACGGAACAACCCTCTTATCATATAATGCTTTGCGTCAACAGACATATTCGCAAATGTACCGCACTCGTTGTTAGTAATGGAGTTCAACACGGGTTATCACTCAGGGGTAAAAAAGTCATCTAATCTCCGACCCGGCACATCACTTGGTTCTTTGCCACTGACTTTTCGTCATTGGTTCATTCGATAATCATATTCTTTTTTCCTTTCTTTCTCGCTTGCTCTGCCTGCTTATGCTGGCGTTATTCACCCTCTACTTTTTTCTCACAATGTGTGATTCGGCTCCCTCTCTACTAGCATATTTTCATAGCAATTCTTGATAAAGTGATTCTTGAAAACAGTATAAATAGTCCAACTTTAATGTTTCATACCTTCGAGTGAACAGCTAAGCGTTTAAACGGACGTTTGTTCTTCGGCAATCGGTAACGCGTAATTTTGTTTATTTTACTTGCAGTTCTTTCTTCTTGCAGTTCTTATATCTTCTTGTCATTTTATATTCGGTGATCTTCTTGGTGTATAGTTTTCATGAATATATATCTTATTTTATGCAGATTTCATGCTTGTTATCATCCTCTCGCGAAAGTAATCGGTGATTTTGAAAATTTCCAAGTGATTTCTGTGTTACAGACAAATAAATGTGTCGTGAAAGATAAAACGTATTAGAAATATGAAAAGATTTTTGCAATTTTTTATTATTAAATTCATATTAGAAAATTAAAAATAATATGTAACTTAAATGTATTCGATATTTTCGAAATATGATATATATAAAAAAAAGAGAAAAATCTGATATTTTCTGATATTTAAAAAGTATAGGTTTTTTTTATAACACTTGAATTAATTCGGTTGAAAATATATTTTTTATAATATAAACTGTTTACGTGAAACTTTATCGCAAAGAGGAACAGTCTGGTAACATCCAGTTTAACTCCTCTCTAGCAGTTATCTCCAGTTTCAACTCGTACATTTTCATTCGTTTTTGTAAAATAAGTTTGAAATATATTTTGCTGCATTTGGAATAAGTAGAGAAATCTTGCGTCATTTATTTGATTGCGATCAGTAACAATTTTGTTATAATTTTATTTTCCCATATTAAACAAAAATAGCAAATTTCGTGTCCTGTGTAAGATCCTATTGTCGTTCATACTTTCTTCTTAGAAAAGTTCTGTCTGTTTTTTTTTGTTAGAAAGATTCTAACAATATTCTCTTCTATCAATATCCTCTTTTGTTTAAATGATCATTTTAATAACGTCCATCTATCTTTTATCACAATTTTAAAAATGCAGATTTCAACTGATAAATCGTTAAAATAAACCATAATTCTATATTTCAGGAGCGCAGCGTTTTACCCAAATATCCGAGGGTTTCCCCGGTTATCAGACCTTCGCCGTCCAGTTCTGGGTCCACCCTAGACTGTTCGTCGAACACCACCCTCGTGACAAATACCAGTCCCTTCAACAGCCAGACCGCCCTTATCACCGAGAAAAGATACTTCTCCGGCGACGTCGGCAAGGGATCCAATCACTACTATGCCGAGAATTTGAGGAACAATCATCAAAAGGCTTTAAACAGGTCGCGGATCTATGATCCGCTCAATAAAAATCAAGACGTCGATTACAAGCAACTAGATCCACTACTACCGAGCGAACAAAGTTCAAGCATCAACATCCTTATGGATCCCCCGGACGTGAAAGTACCGAAGGACTCGCAGGAACCATTGCCATCCTTGGAGTTCAAGAGGGAACCCGAACAATCATGGTTACGATTTGCCGCCCAGGTAAGTTATCATATTTTTATAGATTTATATGGAATTCTTTTCAATACTTAGATTCTTTGAGAAATTCCAAATCGATTATATTTTAAAATAAAAAAATATGCACAACTCTTTTCTTTTATTAACAAATTAATAAAAATAAAATTAAGAATAACTGCGGCTAATCGGATCAATATAGCACCGCTTATTCTGTGAGCTCTGTTTTGAAATGTGAACTTCAATCGGCAAGGCAGGATGTTATCAATTATATGGGTAACTTCAATTAACGAAAATAAAAAATTAATGGCCGCAACACACACTCTTGCATAACGCATAATGCATAGTGCGTAAGGGAATCAACCAATCGAAATTCTTCTTTTCCATGGAATGAGAGGAAAAGGGAAGATTCTGATTAGTTGATTCGCTTATGCACTATGCGTTATGCAAAAATTTGTGCTGCGGCCTTAAGGCCGCAACATAGACCTTTGCATAGCATAGAAAGCATAAGAAAATCAATCAGTTCTTAATTCATGAAAAGAAAGGAAATGAAGAACTCTGATTGGTTAATTTTCTTATGCATTACGCGTTATGCATAACGCAAGATTCTGTGCTCCGCCCTTACGAATCACACGTTGAAAAATAATCTCATACGTGCAAATAATAATTTATGAAGAAACTCATACGTATATATTCCTCATGCATAATATGTGCATGTAATGTTGCCTATATATGTATAGAGGCAAGTGTATTTCATTACCATTTCATAAATCGTCCAATGTCGTTAAGTTGCGGTTAGAATATTACAATACATTCAATTATCATGAAATATTCATGTTTACTGATTAAAGATCTTCCTTCCTTCTTTACTGTTAGAAGTCACGTCTTCGAGAATAAACTGCTGGATTTAAGACTTCTGAGTAGTTGCCGCGGCCATACTGAATCGTGATGTCACAAGCGAGAAATGATACGTTAATTTTTGTTATATGCCGTTTGTAAATAAAGACAATTTAAATAAAACGAAATGATGACATCGCTTTAAAACACCTGTCAAAATGGGTGGAAGCTATCCTTAGCCTCCCTGACAGTCAGTAAATAGTCATAAAAAATGGTAAAAGACACGTGAAGTCCGTTTACTTAATACGTATGCGTAGCTGTACACGTCACGTGCGTAGCTTTTCACTTTCACGTGCCTTTTACGTGACTATTTACTGATTGTCAAAAGGGGAGCTTTGACCTATTTTTAAAACCGTTTTAAAGCGGTCTTATTTCATTTTATCCAAATTGTCTTTATTTACACATGTAATAAAAATAAGCATATACTTATAATAAATAAATGTTTACTTGAAACTATTAAAAAAAATTATATAGATTTAACAATTCTTTTTCAGTGTATGTACATAGTTTGTTTAAAGTATAAATATTAACACATTTGTAAAAATGACTCAAATACATCCTTAAGGACTTGCACGACATACAGTAGTATGACCACATGTATGGTCCGACGACGATGTGTCATCCTTTATTTGCGTACTTTACGAAATTTACAATGTTACATGTTTATAGAAATTACGTAATATTCTTCGTATAAAAACTGCAATTTTAAAAAACTAAAAAAGTCACATCTCTATATGAAAATTACTTGTTTATTAAAAATCTTTATATAAAAGTTACTTCGCAATACACTGCATACATATTTTTTTCTTTTTGTTTCACAATAAATCATAAAATAGTTAACAAATTATTTAATAATTAATATTGGAATAAATTAGCAAAACACATTACTTGTTATACGTATATTATGCAAAAGCCTTTTATTAGTTAATGAAATTGTATGTATCTATTTGCGTTTATACTAAATTTTTATATTCATATATTAAAGATGGATTTAATACTGAAAACTCAAAGCATTTTTTCAAAAATATTTATAAGGAGTTGGAATAATTTTTGTTGTAGTAAAACTAATGAATTATTCATACATGAATTGGAACATTTACACATTAAACATTTTGTTCCATTATATGAATACAATTTAATTAATGCGCGCCGAAATCTATTACACAATCGAAATGATCGGCATAATTGTGCGAGAACAAGAAAAAATGAAAAGCAGACGCAACCCTGTAACGAATATCGCAACCTTGTATAACGTTGAATACTATACTTTCCTTGAGGTTGCCATTGACATTCATGGCTGATGGCACCATGAGCGCCGTCAGAATTTCTCAATTGTTATATTATTTTATATTACGCGGAAAATAAATTTATTTACGTGAACTGTTCGTAATTATATACGATTCGAAAATTATATACGTAGAAAAAAAAAGCGAAAATACGTAGTGCAATAATCATTCATTAGATATGACGTTCATACAATATTATCAGCAACTCTGCGCGAAAGTTAGAATTCCTCATGAAATATCCAAGTCTCGAAACATTTCATGTCCTTAAATCATTTCATATCCTTAAAATTATGGTCATTATGTTTTTATATTGTATCTTCGCATGTATTAGAACGTATTTATATTTACATATTCGTATAACTAATTTAATATTCATACAGTCGAACAAAAAGGCAACGTATGATGAAAAAATACCTTCGTTTATATAATAAAACAGTGTTTTACGTCATGAAGCGATGAACATTTATCGAGCAAGAAATCAATCTTCATTACATGAACAATCGTATTCCCGCTATGCATATATTAAAAGTAACTGTAGCTGCAATTATTTACTGTATTCATCAGGTTTTCTTGCTAGAATGTAACAGACTATGATGGATGCAAATATTGTGTATCAGCATTAATTATAATAATTAATAATCGCGCGCGCGAAATAACATGGTACATTTAAATTTACATGTGAAATGAGATATAATGAGTTAAAAGGAAAATAATTTCCTGTGTAGACAAAAGCAAAAATGATTACGGATCGACATTTACTTGTAACATTAGAAAATTGAAAAATTCATTAAATGTTCTAGATTTCAGTTTTAAATTTGCATCAGGTCATTAAAATTTAGGTATATTAAGCGAAACGATTATTACAGCGCATCATTAGAATGATGAAAAAAATAGTTTAAAAATTCAAAAAATATATGTGTTTAACGAGGAACATCCTATCGTATAATAAACATATCGTATATATTGACGAAAAATATTCCAACAATTATGAAAATTATGAAAATGCTAATGCAATTTTTATTTTTTAGCCGCTTTTTTTCTTTCTATCTTAATCGACAAAACGGAAATAGAAAAACAATGAATAACTCATTTTTTATATTAATTGTCGAATTGATAGACGTACTTAGAATAGTGTTCTTGTTATCGCATTAAGTAGCGAGCTGATTGAATGAATAATAAAATACTTAAGTCTTTATTGATACAGTATACACAATGAATGTATGCTGTATTAACAAACTCTTTATTATCGTCAGTCTAGTCGTTATTGATACAACAAACACAATATATCAAAAGAATACAGTATATATAAACAGAGATTATGTACTATGTATGTCTGTATGTCTAGTCTTTATTGGTACAGCAAACACGATATATCAAAAGAATATAGTATATATAAACAGAGATTATATACTATGTTAAGTGCCTAAAGGGATTCGATGATTTATATTTATCTTTATCGATAAATGTACTTAGCATACATAGTTTACATTATATATACTATAAAATTAGAAATAAATATACATATTTATGGTAAAAGTGAGGTGTGAATACGAATATGTATTTATGAATTCTCATACTCTCTAATAATAGTTTTTCTATGATATTTCTCGTTGAATATTTCAAATGGTTAAATAATTAAATAAATGATATTTTTGCAATCCACCGACATTCGTGACTTGCATTGTCGCTTCTATTTTATTAATATTTAAAAACGGTGTAAAATTTTTCAAAGAGAATGCAAATACAGAAAATGAAATCATGATGTAATAAGACAGGTGTAACATTTTCGTGAATGCAATAGACAGCCAATTAAATTTGGGCTTAAATATCGGAAAACAATATGGCTGTGAACATGTCAGAAAGAATGGCATGTCATTTTTTACATGTCCATGTAAAAAAAATTATAATTCGTGAAATTGTAGACAAAATTACATTTATATAGCTCGCTGGTTATATTGCGTATCTATTTCGAAATAATTATAACGATTTAGGTTTTTCATAAAAACATTTAGAATTTCGAGAATGTATTTGGACCCAAAATCGATTAGTTGTTTTCTTACATCATGAATGAAATATGTTTTCAAAAACAAGATAGTATTAAAAAAGTTGCTTTAGAGACGCTATAAGTCTGTGATTTTTATATTAAATGAGAGTTTCATCACATTTCGAAATTATTCCAGAAAAATCTAAAACATACATATACTCCTCTTCATCTCCTCGCTCGAAATTTGAATCACGTGTTGTCTCGAAGGCGCGAAACGAAGATGCCAAACGAAGGAGTCTTATCAAATGGACGTATCTACGATCATCTGATATGGGAGTAGTGATCTACGAAGTTTTCAACGACGTGACTTGCGAGGGGAAGGGATGGCCGGCCCCCAGCATTGCTCTCTATATAAAATCACCCGTCGCGGTCCACAAGTGTCAATAGTTCGTATTATACTGTGACATCGAAAACTTCTACTCGCATCAGTGTGCTATCAATATCCATTTTTTTTTATTATCAATTCAGCCAAATCAATTAGTATCCGATCGACGATATAGGAGTGAGTTCTCATCTCTCGTCTCGACGGTTTGGGACTCTCGAAGGGTTAAAACTTGGTTTCTTCCACAATCACGTTTGCCGAGACACCTAGATTACAACCCCTATAAAAACGCGAGTTTTCGAGTTACGGACTTTCAGAATCGATCTACCATTGTTACTCGACGAAACAAGCAGTAATGATATTTTCCATAATTCGGATTTTTTATTAGAATTAGAGAGTCTCTAATCAGAATAAATCCGCTTATTGTTAGTTCATCCTATTGATATTCGGATAATATTCGGAACAATCCGGAAATTTTCGATATTTTACGATTCTGGTTCCCATCGCGAAACGCAATTGTAGTGGTCTTCACGTGCTGTTGGAGAACAATGCTGTTTGTTTGAATCGAACAAACGATTCGTTAGATTGGTATCGAAGTTTCATTAATCGGAAAATCGTGTTTGTAATCGGAACTAGAAAATAGTGTCATAATAGGTTCCTCGATCTATCCGTAATCATGAAACTTCTTCTGCGAGCGGACACTTATGTAAACATCGAATTACCGGTAAACACGCCTACAGCAAAATGCACAATCACCCAGGTAAAAAGTTAACCGAAATTTTTCTTTGTTATGTTCTTTAGATTTTTTTTATTGCTATAAATAACTGAATAGATATAGCTATTTCCCATGTAAAGGCCAATAAAAAAATGTATAATTTTGAAGAAACATAATCTTGATGTAATCCTTGGATTGATAAATGTTATGTATAATATCAGAATTTATGTAATTGTGCACTCCACTTAATGATACTAATTATTAAGATCATTTTAGTTTTAGATTTCTTCTAAAATTAAATTATAATAATAAAAACATAAACACACAATATTTCAATTGAAAATTATTTTTCTCGAAAACTGTGCAACTTGAACAAATTGAATAAATTGAACAAACTTAATCAGAATTTTTAGCTTTTTTGCAAGAAAAATAAATTCTTCGCTGGTTGTACTTTGATTTTTATTGATCATACTTAAAATTTTGTATACTATAAATAGTCATATTTGAATATACAAGGATTGCAAAAATAACAGAAAATTTTCTACGTGAATGTCGCAATCTTTTTCGGCATGATTTCTATGACGCAAATCGTACAATTGATCGAATACCAATTAAATTATTGCGTCGATCTCGACTCTTTGCTATTTTAAAATAGATTCTACATATACACAATAATTGCGTGCGAAGGAAATGTACTCAACAACGAGACATAAAAATATATAATATCCTCACAATTTCTACATTTCTTTTCTGCGCGATAGATTTAAAATTAAATTTACTCCAGTAGCTATTGACACTTCTAATCCACCTTACCGAATTGAATTTATTCCGACACATTTATAAGTCAATTCTGTGTAGAATCATAACTTTGTTCTCGTAAGACTTGTAAAAACTTATAACTGAAATGCTTATGAATTTATGCAGTAGCTTTACAAACAGCTTCTTACTAATCGTAAGATTTACGAGAAATCGTAGATATTTACGAATAACCGTAAGTCTTATTGTATAACGCATAGAATTACAATTAAGGTCATAAGTTCTATAAATCTTACAAGAACAAAGTTACGGGCCTTATGATTCTGCTTAGAATTGATCCATTAGTCTTCGATTAAGATTTAGAGATTTTTAATTTGTAAGTAGATGCGCCTATAAAAGAGTCAAAGTTCACGTTCAGACCTTCGTACATTTTTTATGCGTTTTGTAATCTGTTTGCAGATATTAGCTGCATTATCGGTGTCGTTGGGTTCAATGCAAGTCGGCTATTCGTCTTCCTATACATCGCCAGCGCTGGTGTCCATGCGTGATAATGCTACAGCGAGCTTCGAAGTCACCAAACAGATGGTGAGTCTAGTAACAGCTGACATTTTTAAATATAATCCGCTCTATCCTTAACTCCTACGCGTTTAAAATTTATTATACAGAAAGTCAAATCGTGCACTTTATTAGGCATGTACTTTACATCCGTGTATTTACAGAATTCGCCAAGTTTGCAAAAGCTACGTAGAACAATCTCCGATGGATGTATTTATAAAAGTATTCAAAATAAAGTCGCAATCTGCGAATATACGACCATGAAATCACATAAATCTGATTTTATCAGAAGTGGAAGATTGTGGGAATTGGACACGGTTTCTTGAACATCTAAATTGCCAATTATATGCGTTAACTGTTTAGCGGTAACGTAAGAACTCGGACAACTATTCGTGACTCATTGTATTTTTTGCGAAATCACGAAGTATCTTTTCAAAATTGCTTAATATTTTCATTTGATCTATACTCTAATCAGTAGCTACGTTTTAATATCTATGAATATTATTTTCAAAGACTAATTTTATTATTTAAATCTTTTATGTAAAGTTACCAGAGAATGCCAAACCGATATTTATGATATCATTTTTTTTATTTCTGCATCGCAAACAGATATTGCAATAGGGTACGTTTCTGTGCCCGTTTAAAGACATTTTAATTAAATTTATGATGTCAAGGAAAAGTCCGACGGGATTGTTTATCGGCGACGCGTTGCGGATCAATACAAAGTAGAAGCCGAAGTTAAGCGCCGATGACAAACGATGTAAACGCGTCACTTATAAATTATCGCATTCTACGCATGCGTATGAAAAGGTACGACCTTCGTTATTCAAAGGGTCAATGGATAATTAAAAGGTTTAACCTCAAGTGCGTCATTGGTGTCTGGTCAGGGGCACGATGACCTGATTGCAATCGTATTGGCGAAGGAGCCGTTGTGCCCCAGTGGCCGAGAACGCGATTGGTCGTCTAGCCGGACACGCCGACTTCGTCATAAGGCCTCAACGTGACGATATCGGAAATTGATTCCAGATATGTAAGCGAGCGTGAATGCTTCCGCATTCAAAAGTGAGCCTCGCAAGCCGTGATGTAGGATATTCGTTTCGGGAAGCCCGCTTTAATAAATTTCAGAACGAAAGGCAACAAAATGTTATTACAATGACTATTTTTTTAACATGCCAAAATGTAATTAATTGTTTAAAGAGCTATATACATATTGCATTTGAAAATTTAAGTAAATTTATTTTTAATCTTTAGTATAAAATATACTTTTGTATCTATTGGTAAAAATAGGAAAGCATAACTACTGATTGTGCAAATTAATTTTTGTAGTACTTTCAAAATAATATATTTCTAAATATATATATTTTGTTTTTATATAAATTAAATGAATAATATAAATATCTAAAATATTCTAATAATTGGATTTAGTTATATTCTAATAATTAATTAAAAAATAATATTTTATTAAAGTCTATCACAATAAAATCACTACCAACTGATTTTATAATAGCAATTATTATAACAATTATTCTGTGTTTAGTGAACTCATTTGTAATAAAGATTTCATAACTCGTTTCTGCGTGTGTGTTGCGGTAACTTAATTAAAATACACGACAACGGATGAGCAACCAAAATGATTGCCCTTCGCAATTGTTTTCCTTGACATTTTGCGGCTTCCCGACCTTATTTGTATTCGAAGGATCTACGATGAATAAAACTATGCTTTAGTATACACGGTTGTTATTCGAACAATGAATTTAAACGATCAAGGATTGTCGATATGCGTAGCATGATATATAATCGATCTAAATCTTTTTCAATCTCGAATCGCTTCTGTACATAGTAATAGTAAATTTTAGCCATTATACGGAGTCTGTTCAAAAAAAAATTTTAATTATATATTAAAAATTTAAGACATTATATAATACATTCGGGCAGAAGTTTATTAAATTTTTAATATCACTTGTATGAAGAATATAGTGCGATTAATTTAAAGTAACTTTAGACATATTCTATTTGATATAGTTGATTAATTAATTGACAATTAGAAATTAATTGCAATAAATGATGTCTCAGAAAAATCTATTTTAAACTTAATTGTGGAATTTTATAAATTATGTATATCATTCCACATTTTTTATATTACAGAGCATGTGGATTGGGTCACTTATGCCATTGAGTGCACTTGTCGGTGGCATCGCTGGCGGACCGCTCATCGAATATATAGGAAGGAAAAAGACAATACTTGCTACAGCGTTTCCATTTATCGGAGGTAAGATTATCGAAGCATACACAGTATAAAAGAACGTTTATGTAATGAGATATAATGTAGACATATATACGTATGATGAACTGTCGTAGTAAATAACGTTATATAAGTCCCATCACTATCTATCATCGATTATTTAAATTAGTTACATTGTCGTTTCTCCCTTATATTCCGAATACTGTTGCATGTAGATAGTAGGTCGTGTTATATGATGATATAATACTTTTTACAGCATGGCTCTTAATCGCGATGGCTAAAAATATTCCGATGATATTGGCTGGGCGTGCGATATGCGGTTTTGGCGTAGGCGTTGCTTCTTTAGCGTTACCTGTGTACTTAGGCGAAACGATACAGGCAGAAGTGCGTGGTACTCTTGGTTTAATGCCCACCGTTTTTGGTAACTCCGGTAAGTTAAATGGAAGATTTAAACCTTGCTCTCGATTTATATGTGTACGTGTTCGTTGCTAATATGACATTCGGATATTTAAACTTGTGTGAATGTTTTATTTAAAAATAAATATATATATTTCCAATCTTAATATTAAATATATATATATATATATTTGTAAAATGGATATATATTTGTAAAGTATGTCCCATAAATTCATAAAGGTTTCATATTCAATGTGCAGGAATATTACTATGCTTCGTAGCGGGTATGTATCTGGATTGGAGAAATCTGGCGCTGTTAGGGGCGAGTTTACCACTACCATTCTTGATTTTGATGTTTATAATTCCGGAAACGCCAAGATGGTACATTTCCAAGGGACAAACAAAGAGATCCCGAAAATCTCTTCAATGGTTGCGCGGTAAAGACACAGACATAACGGACGAATTGACTATGATCGAGAAATTACATCAGGAATACCTCGACAGCGAGCGAAATACTTCCCAAAATTTAATCTCGGAATTGATGAAGAGTAAAAATTTCAAACCTCTTCTCATTTCTTTGGGTCTAATGTTGTTCCAACAAATGTCTGGCATCAACGCGGTGATATTCTATACGGTGCAGATCTTCCAAGTACGTATTATATTAATCGGTTACCTTTCTCTACTGACTCGCGAGTCCAATATTCCAATAATTTTTAAATACATAGTTCTCTAATCAAATCATGAAAATAAAATGATGAATTAATGCACGAAATAAATGCATCAAATAAATTTTTTAATTTTGAGAAATACGATCCGACACATAATAATCAACAAACATTTTTTTTTTTTCAGGACGCTGGTAGCACAATTGATGAAAACATCTCGACCATAATCATTGGGATAGTGAATTTCATATCCACCTTCGTCGCCGCGTCTGTAATCGACAAGCTGGGCAGGAAGATGCTGCTGTACATAAGCGCCGTGTTGATGGCCCTGACCCTCTTCTCCCTTGGCGGATTTTTCTACGTGAGGTCAATGGATGTGGACGTGACGGCCTTCGGCTGGCTGCCACTGGTCAGTTTGATCGTGTACGTGATAGGCTTCTCATTGGGCTTCGGGCCTATTCCTTGGCTGATGATGGGTGAGATCCTGCCCGCCAAGATCCGCGGCTCCGCCGCGAGTATCGCGACCGCCTTCAACTGGATGTGCACCTTCATCGTAACGAAGACCTTCGAGGATGTCACAGGAGTGATTGGTGCGCACGGCACCTTCTGGATGTTCGGCATAATCGTCGTAATAGGCTTCGTCTTCGTGATCGTCAGTGTGCCGGAGACCCGCGGCAGGTCGCTCGAGGAGATCGAGAAGAGGTTCACAGGTCCAACTAGAAGGATGAGCGCAGTCGCCAATATGAAACCGACGCCGATGTCGTGCTAGCTGCTGAACTTCCGATCGCGACTCGCGATAAAGAAACTCGTTCGAGTAAAAAATAGGATTCCTTACGGTGTCCTTCTAAGGGAAAGATTCCCTTACAGATATGCTTTCCCTTAAAGGGAAGTTCGAAGGGAAGTTCAGGTTCGAAGGTTATACTTCTCTCTTCTATGTAAAGAGAAGCGTCTGTTCTTCCTTCTTGGCTTTTCCTACCTTACTCTTATTTCGAAGATCTTCGGCTCCCTTTCGCGAGATATATTTGTTATAACAAAGTTAGAGCGAAAGCGATTCGGAAATAACTGATAAAAGATAGAAATCGGTCGTAGATCTGAATAGTATGTAGAAATACGCGGACAAAAGTGCTTCTCATAAGATTCACATCTCTTTAAACAAGTTGAAGAGGCACACAATTGGGTGAAAAGTTCTATTAATTGAAAAATTTAGTGCAATAGCAATTTCATAGAAGATCTATATTTTAAAAAAGTTGGTTAAGATAATTCCTCGACTGTACTTTTAAACAGAATCTTACGATATAAGATATAAAAACACATTATCTTCGTTCATTCGCTTCTTCAATTAGCCTCGTGAAACATGACTTCGGCAGATTTCGCTTTAACTGTATTCCAATCCAATACGAAGATCAGAGCTAACAAGTTAGTGCCAATCTTGTCGAGAACCCAAATTGCGAGGCCAATTAAGTAGCTTCGTGGAATATAAATATGTTACGCTTTCCCACCGGGAAAATGGCAAAATATGTGACTATCAGCTGTTGACTAGGTGTGTAGTTGCAATTGTTTTTATTATTCCCGACAGTCCTACAGGGCCTACCTCAAGTTGATACTGCTCTATTAGAGTATAGCAGATAATACTGTCGTTAGAGATGTACGCGTAGGTCAACGCTAGTCGCGCGCGAGCGCGCGTTTCTTTTTTTATAGCGTAATTTGCGTGGGGCTGTGGTATCGCATAGGTTCTGTGTGATACGATTAATCGTCACGTGCACCTTGAATTTGAATTAACCCGACGTCATTGTGGCTGGGTCATAACGATCCGAGACATTTTTAAACATCTGTATTTTCTTACATACTTCGTAGATTTTAACTAACCGCCCTGTAGCTGGAGCTAAGACTTTCTAAAACCATTGTTGACATTGCCAAAAAAATATTCGGGTAATCATGATCCACTTCAACGTCCGTGTAATATTTTAGCACCACAATGACGTCGGGTTAAAAGCACGCGTAACATGTGTGTACTTTTATATGTATGTATGTATACATATACTATATATATGTATATATGTATGTATATATATATATACATACATACATTATATGCCGACCAAGAAACCGGTCTTTCGAACAGAGGCGAATTTCCCAAGCGATAATAAGGTTTAAAACCAATCGCGTTCTCGTTACAGTAATTACGAATTGTAAATAGTCGAAGAGATTTACGCCATAGTGATATTATCTACGTCCAAGAAAAATTGTCGTTATTAATTTCAATCGTAACTGGACAATTATTTTTCTATTGCCTTTTTCTTATTTTTAGACGAAATTTAGAAAGAGATAGAGAGGAAGGAAATTGAGCTTTGATTGTAGTTAATCAGCATTGAAGAAATTGATCGTAAATGGAACGATATGATTCTAGCAGCTCGTATTATCGTAATCTTCGTATTAAACTAATGGTGCTTGGTATCAGATGGCTGTACCAATGTGGGATGTGATTTTAAATGTATAACGTATACGATAATTTAAGCGTTATAACACATACCAGATATATATTTTTAAAGCGAAGGATTACGAAAAGTGGAAGCGTAGTTGTAAAGTCGAGATGAAGTTCTTAGAAAGTTACATAAGAATATGTAACGCTGAAGGAAAAACCTCAGACAAATGTAATATAGTAGAGTCGCCTATGTTCGAAAGTTAGGACAAAGCTGCGTTGAGCACCTGACGAGTGTTCTCGGTCAAGTAATTTAATAGAGATTCGCTGGCAAATTGTTGTGAGAGATGTTATATTATATAGAGGACTACTACATTATTTGTATATTTTACGTAAATTATTGATACATATTTATATATATTTGTTATCAACAATTTATCGCCTGAGATTGTAAAAAAGAGAATTATGTACACATTAAAAAAATCTATTTTATATATTTTTCATAAAGGAAGATATATTTAAAAATTAAATAAATCAAAATTGATTAAGAAATTTATTTTTAGAGGATATCTACAAAAATTGAAGGGTTTGAAAAACATCAGCATTGTACTTTACGATGTCTTTTAAGCGTTCGCATTGTCTGTATGAAAAGTGAAATATTTAACAACTTACAGCTAATGTAAATATGTAAGTTTTATTATCTATTCCGAATTACTGCATGTGACCGGGTGCATTCGCAGTATGTTTGGCACGGTGCAAACTAAATGCATATCATAATCGACAACTGACGAATACGTTGGAAAACGTTAAAAACCAAGTATACGATTTTATAAGTTTATCAGAGTGTGCTTGTAGTTGCGTGCGTCCGAGTAGAAAGATTCCATTAGTAGAGAATCTTGTTTGATAGAGGTGTAAGAACGATAAAACGTTATGCGGAACGTTTCTCGTAGTTTCTTTTCTCTCTCGCATTTCTAGGCTGCGTTCCGATATTCATAGCCAATACTGAAACTCTATATGGAAAGAACGATTTTTGCTAAAGTATCTAAAAATTTAATCAATACAGATCTAAAAATAATTTTGTTGGGCAGTTAAAATAATTATGTAGGATGCTCAAATTGGTTGATTAAAATGACAAAACTTTTTGCAAAAGTGCTCATAATGCTTGAGATATCTAGTAATTATTTTAATAGTTCAACAAAATTATTTTCAAATCTTTATCTAGATATATTTTTTTTAGATACTTTAGTTAAATCTTTCTTTTCTAGTATACGTACGTGCACTACAGATTTTGCAGCACTGGCAGTGAACGTTGGAACGCCTTATATAATATCACAATAGACGTCGTTTGCAGCACGCGAAATCTCATTTTAACATTCGCGTAAAAGTAAGTACCGCACGAACAAAATCCACAGCAGAATCTTATTTTAAAATTGTGAAAATAAACATTCGAACAAAAGATCATTCCTTTGCGATTGTGCGAAGTTCAATGTACGACTCACTTTGATATCATATGAAGCAATAAGTGCACAATATCTTGTTTTATATAAAAGTTGAGTACGTTATTACTCTCCTTCGTAGTACAACGACCAATCACGGCATTTCTTTGTTTCTTATATTTACTGTTTATATTTGTTGCTACTGTAAGTAATACCTGCCGCTTATTCATAAGCTATTTGCCAAAGCACAATGAAGATGGCGAAATATTTTTGATAATTTAATACTCATATTAAGTTTACGAATAATTTGTAAGTTATATATATATATATATATATATATATATTATGTGGTATAATTTTAAGATTATTTACAGCTATATAAAATGATACATTTATGTAAAACTATTGCTTTAATTTTTTATCCTTCCCTTTTGATATTTTTATATAATAATATTATATTAGCAATGTTATTCAATTTTTCTATTAGATAAAGACGCGTAATTACAAAAGCAATTACCAATTTAATAAGAATTCATATATAAAAATGCTACATGATATAGTGTACAAAATTCATAAATCAAAATATAAAAGTTCTTGAAAAATTAAATCTGAATAAAAAGCAGTTTTTTAAATAAATATATATAATCTCATATGACTCAACCAAAAGTAAACATTCCACAATCATTATATAATAAATAATAACATGGAGGCTCTTTGTATCTCGTGTTGATATCATACACACATTTAAACTCATAAAAAATGATACAACTTAAGTTGTTTGCGAAAGGTGCATTCGGTTTCATGCATAATGCACATTATGTATCATTTTATCCTTATTGTTCATTAAATATTAAAGAAGAATAAAATGATGCGCACTTTGTGTCAAAAAGAACGCACCTCGGAAACATTTTGTATTTCAAATAAATAGGTAAGGCAGTACAGCTCAGATCAAATATATCAAAAACATATTTTGTAAAGTGTTTGTCGTAAATTCTATCGAGTTAATAATATAAATCATGATCATATCATGCAGTAAGAATTAATTAATATTTTTTATTAGAAAACACAATGGCAAATTGTGTTATTTATACATAAATTTCTTATATCCAAGTTTTTACAAATGCAGATTTACCGTAATCTTGGTTTAACTTCTAACCCTTTGTCTTTTTTAAGTCTAAGAATTAGAAAAAATAAACAATAGGATAAATTGAGATGAAAGTTAATTATACATTTATCTATATGTTCCATTATGATTAAAAAATAACAGTTTCTGGTTAATTTCTAGGTGATGTATCATCAACTGATCATATTCTGTTCACATATTATGTTATATATATTATTGGCATAAAATGCCAACAAAAATTTGTCATTATTGGGATATAACATGATAATGTGTCTTTCTAACAATATATATTAATTTTAACCTCGATTTAACTTTTTTCTAATTTTTAGAATTAGAAAAAGATGAAGAACAAAACGTTAAACTGAGATTAAATCTACATTGGTAGAAACTCTGGTAGAAATGGACATAAATAACACTTTTTGCTGTTGTTTTGGAGTAAAAAATATAAATTAATTCTTACTGCATGAAAATGTCAGCGTGATTATATGATTAACGTAACGCAAACATTTTTCGTAAGGGAGCAAAATGAATAAAATAGCGGGAAGACGAAACCGAGAACAAAACGGTACGGAGTTGACAAAATCATAACCAAAACATAGCTTACCCATAACCTGGACTCTGCATATGGCACAGGTGTCACACTCGACGTCCCAGCTCCACATGGCCACGGCGTTCCATTTCTTCAGTGTAAACATCTTATCGTTCTTCTGATTGTCGCCATCGATTCGATCACTTGGATCTTGTTCGGAATCGCCCATGGTTTGAGGTTAGAAACGATGGTGGAACGTGAAACAACGCGAGGAGATAACCGCGATCCGATCAGCGCAATCACGAATCAGTAGGTCCACACACTGTGACCGGTGACGTCTGTGACACACGCACAGTGGCAATGACCAGTGACAGTAGTGGCGTGGTCGCGCCGTTTTGCACTCAATTTGACTTCAATTGCGCCACTTGCACCGGTTGCGGAACCCAAACACTCCCGCGCATGCGCGGCACCGTATACGTGCATATTCTTTGAATTCTTTGGAGTGAAACTTCACTCTATAAAAAATACAGCCAATCTTGAATAAAAGTGGCCCCATTTTCAATCTTAAGTGAGATTTCACTTTTCAGAATGACAATCCACTCTAAAAATTTTAGAAGGTATGTGTACTTATTTTGGCCCAGTTCAAAAATTTACTGTCGTACACTAGTGACACCAACATTAATTTTATAGACTGACGCGAACTACGCGTCACGTTATCGATAGACGACATTGTTCATGAAGCGTCGAAAAATTGAATTGCAAAATAAATTTATAAATATATATTTAATATTTTT